ACTTAATTATGAACTTTTAGAGAAGATGTTATTTTCACATGAACCCCACATTCTTAATTCTTAACCAAATGTATCTTTTTATATATATATATACACACAAAATATAAAAAAAGTCTATTATCATGTATAATATATAATATATACTACATATAATTCTGAACCAAATATTATCAAATACATTATACAGCATCTAAAAATAAGTTTTGCCTAACAGTACGTGTACAAAAAGTCAAAGAAGTGAGAATACACAAAGTTGCACGTATTTTAATTACAGACCTTCTTACATACTTCTTAAAAAAACCCTGCAGAACATTTCAGACAGCTTAACTGCTAGTATTTGCAAACTTGACGTGAAAGAAGAGTTTATGTTTTTTTCATTAACACAAAAACACTGCATTAAAGACCACGGTACAGAAACATGCAAAGGCATTTCAGTTAAGGCTTCTACACATGTTGCATCTTCTGTAATTAAACACAATTCTAAAACTTTCCAGGTAACTGAACCAGAAAAGCTCAGTTGAACTCATATTCCATTGTGAGGCTTAATGGAATAAGGAGTACTTTGCACAACAGGTAATTAGCCATCAAATTATTTATTAAGTGTGATTTTTAAAGGGCAACCTCAAACCTAATTGATTTCAATACGCATGTACTTGGACTCTCCCCAAAAGACAGGCTGGAAATGCAAGCTCCAATTGAAACATGGATCCCATTGAGTTCAGAAATGTCAGAAATCAAACCATGTTACACATGCTTTTCCTGCACCAATGGGATGGGATGCTTTAGCACATTTCTGCCTGAGCTCCATACTTGACGGGCAAAATCATACTTCTTACCACACCACGATGACAGAAATAGCTTCTCTTTGCTGCTTGACATTATTTATCTCATCTTCAGGAGTTCAACAATTCTGTAAATCAAACACACCGTACCTGCAGAAAGTGTGGTGGCAACTTCTCTGGCAACACTAGATAGTGCCTCATCCTCCATCTCCAACAGCCTAACCATGACAAGAGCTTTCAGGGCAGCACTGAAAGGGAGCAGCACCCTGGATCTCTCCACTTGGACATACGATGCAGTGCCAGATGTCATTTAGTTCTACAGTTTTGCAAAAATACATACACAAGAACTGTAAGAATTTACGAAGAAGTTTAACAGTTCCTTCCCACAAAGTGAACGCCCCAGAACGCAGCCAACAGCTGTGGGGCGTCTTTTAGTTTGGGTAGAACTCTTGGGGTTTGTTCAAGAGCTAAAAAATGTCATGAAGACTGAATTTTTGATTTGTTTCAGTTGCTGGATGGCCATAACATAACTCGAGTCCTTAGCAGGGCAGCAGCAGCCCTAGTTATTCATGTTCCCCTCCTTGTTTTAAAGCAACTCAGGGAACAGCACAAGAAATTACTGTCTCTTTAACTACCCCCCTTCAAGTCTCTTATTTGGCTGCTCTTAAACTTCACTACTAGAAAGTGCAGTAATTCTCCATGGAACTTTGATAACTGCATACCCTCTTCAACCACACTTAGACACACACACTAAATAAACCAACACAAAATCAATACATGTTAAATATACAAATAAGGTTGGGGCTTTTTGAGGTTTTGTTTTGCTCTAGTGAGCATTTTGTCATTTTAGGAAGAAGTTTCCCACTCCATCCTAACACAACCATCAACAAAACAACAAACATCCTTTGGGGGAAAATTGATCTTCATAAAAATAGGCAGAGACAGGAACACTTTTAAGATCTATGAAATCCAAGTATCTTTAGAAAGAGCAGTGAGTAACACTGTTGCTCTTGCCATACAAGCTAATAGGAAAACACAACACTGTTCCTGTGAATGGCTTTGCAGTAGCTACACATCCTCACTGTTGAGAAATTACAGGACGTACATATATCCTGTTGGCAACCAAAACCACCCTGCTTGATTAAAAGAAGTAGTTAGCTATTCATTAGCTGATCAAATTCTTTCAACAATTGAAACGTCCATTTCTTGTATCTACGTCAGCTTGAAGGAACTTGTTATCAGCAAGAGCTTTGTCAAGAGAACTAAATGAAGAAAAATAAAGTGTCCCCTTTCAAGGAATTATTAAAATCCCTGACAATCCAATTCCTTATTCTAGCAAATGCTTTTTATGACAACTAAACCCAGATTTATGCTTACTAACTTTATGGTGTTTATGTCTCTTAACTCTGTTCTGCTATAAACTCCCTTAGACTACCTTCTTCATAAGATTTGTTCTAATCTCTAGAGAATATTTAGCAAAATCAGGTGAGGCAACTGCTTTCAGCATTAGTAACAAAAGCAGGTTGTTGATGACTGTACAGCAGTCAAAAAAGCACCGAATCCCTCATCTTCTGCAGCCACCTTGTTTCTTTGGCTATATAGGTAGCAATGTTTACAAAATCACCTGGACTTTATGCACTAATCTACTTTGTAAAATAAAAAGCAACAGTATAAAAGTTTTCAATCACATTTGGAAATTGTCGCATACATTAAAAGATCAAAATACAAAAATACATGTTTTGCTTTATGAAAGTTTAAATATATGGCTATAATACACAACATGTTGAGCCACCAGTCGCAGCTACAATAATTGCAGATGCTTGTTCCACACTATGGCTGGGCTCTGGGTATTTCCTCTCCTTGGGGAAATTCCTCCATTTCAGCATGAAACATCAGTTCTAAAGAAGAAAGAAAAGAATTATGTTTTCTTTTAGAAGTTTCACCTGAGCATGTTTTCCTTGTTCCTGAGAAGTGCTCTGCCATCCCCCTAAGGCTCCTCCTTTTCTTCCCAATCATCACATCAACAACGCAGCCATGGCAAGGGCCACTACTGTCTTTAGAAAACAACTATTACTCCCCCTAATTAATAGAAGGAACAATGTGAGCAGCTAATTATATGCAGTATCAACCTGGACACCGAAACAGAACTCTAAAGTAGATTGAGGCACTGTTAAAGTTTTGAGGAGGTCAGAGTCAAGAAGGAAGGTTTGTTTAGAGACTTGCTCACTTAGGGATAGATCTGCTCAAGGTATCACAGTGTAAGTTAGCAACACCAGCACCTGGGACAGAAAGAATCATGAACGATGCTGCTCACAGCCAGCTGTCACCACAGCAGCTCAGACACAGGAGGCAGCCCAAGCTCAGAAGTGACCTGCTTTGTAGAGAAATGTGGCTAGGCACGTTAAGCAGGTGAAGAGGTAGCCCTTAGAGAGCTCTGTGCTGCTGAGGGTCGAGTGTTCTTGTACCTGGGTTCCCTTATGTACCTGCACTGCACCCTGAGCACAGCTGTACTTCCTGCCCTGCTGAGCACATTCAGGGACCAGGCCACGTTTGCCAACGAGTTACCAAGATGGGGAAGTTATACAACCTGTACAACAACCTGCAAAAATGCTACAGTGTGGTTTCTATTGGTGTCTGTTATTATTAAAATGTGCTTTAAATAGAACTCAAACATCTGTTGTAAATTTTACTGTCAAACACTCTAAGTGCTGACAGTCAGGTTGTTTGGGGTTTAATTCACTGAGCAAGTTATTAGAAACAGGCAGAGTAACTGGGGGACAGCTGAAATATAGGAATCTGTACATTAAAATTCTGAAGTAATCTGAAGAAGCATGTTGAATCTTCTCCAGCCTTCCAAACACAAATCTGTGCAACAACAAAAAGAAGACTAGACTCTAGCAAAGCTTCTAGAGAAAAGGGGATGATGTTCTCATCCCCTCCTCCAGCCTGGACCAAATCAAGCAGTCCTCATTTCAAGTCCTGTTCTGCAAGCATAAATTTGACTTTTCGAAGTTTGGAGTTTCCAAAACTACTGCAACTTTTTACTGAAAATAATACAGACCTCAAAACGTGTTTAACATTTGCAAAAAGAACATTAATAACATTAGGGAATTTTCTAAAACACAAGCAGAATAAATAAATTTCAAATACTCAAAATACTGCTGAAGTAGAAATTATTTTCCCATTCAAGGAAGAAGACACATTCTCTCATGTTTCAAAAAAAAGAACAAACAAGGCTTTTCTTTCCTTTTTTAATTACTGGTGTTAATTTATAAAACCAAACAGAGACAGCAGCATACTACAAATCACTCGCTTTGGAAAGCTGCTAGGAGCTGCTTGGTTTTCCTCAGCCACAAAATTTCTCAGGACTAGTTTTGGACACCAATGGCAGAGCACAGTAGGTAAAAGCCTGAACAAACATTTTGCCTACTAATGTTTCCTACCTTCACTGTGGTCTAGCTCTGGTCGACAAGATAAGAGGATCCAGCTTATCACAACCAGAATAGCCAGTACCAGATTCACCACAATCCATGGCCAAACAATTTCTTCCTCTGTACCAGCCACCCTGGGAAGAGCACATCAAGCCATCGGTCACAGCTTCACTAGCACATACAGGTTACAATCATAATGTCAACAGAGGATCATAAACACAAGCTTGCTAAGCCAGATGTGAAAACAGAACTACTGGTACCATCCTGATGGTCTTGGCATTGCAAAGGCCTGGTAGAGACAGCGACTACCAAGGCCAGCAATGCAGCAAAGAAACCCCAAGATCTCATGAAGTATGTCCAGTTGCAGACTTCAACTGCAAACCCCTTTTCTTAGTCAAGAGACAGATGATAAAGATCAAAACGCATGGTCATATTTTACTGTGGTGGAAGATACCACACAACGTTGTCAAGGCTATTTTTAAGCATTTCCTCATGAAGCAGCAAGACATGAGAAGAGCAAGCCAGTAAATTCTGTCTAGAAGGCAGTGCAAGGAAAAAGTCCCTGGAAAAATCATGGAGTGTCTCATTCTGGAGGTCATCTCTGAACATATGAAGAGAAGAAGGTTCTCAGGACTAGTCAGCATGGATTTACCAAAGGGAGATCATGCTGGACTAATCTGATAGCATTCTATGGTGTGGTGACTGAATGGGTAGATGCAGGGGGACCAGCTGATGTAGTCTACCTTGACCTTAGCAAGGTGTTTGACAGTCCCCCAGAACATCCTCCTGAGCAAGCTCAGGAAATACGAGCTAGGGGAACAGGCAGTGAGGTGGGTCGAGAACTGGCTGCACAATAGAGCACAACGAGTGGTGATCAATGGTGCCAAGTGCAGCTGGAGACCTGTAAAGAGTGGAGTCCCCCAGGGATCAGTGCTGGGTCCAGTCCTGTTCAACATCTTCATTAACAACCTGGATGATGGTACAGAGTGTCTGCTCAGCAAGTTTGCTGGTGACACTAAGCTGGAAGGTTTGGCTGACACACCTGAGGGCTGTGCAGCCATTCAGTGAGATTTGGACAGACTGGAGAGCTGGGCCAAGAGGAACCTCATGAGGTTCAACAAGAGTAAGTGCAGACTCCTGCACCTGGGCAGGAGCAATAAAATGCACCAGTACAGGTTAGGAGGAGAGATGTTCTCCATGGGACAGCAGTGTGCCCTTGTGGCCAGGAAGGCCAGTGGGATCCTGGGGAGCATTACAAAAAGTGTGTCCAGCAGAACAAGGGAGGTCCTGCTCCCCCTCTACTCTGTCCTGCTGAGACCTCACCTGGAGTATTGTGTCCAGTTCTGGGCTCCCCATTTCAAGAGGGACAGAGATCTGCTGGAGAGAGTCCAGCGGAGGCTACGAGGATGACTGGGGAACTGGAACACCTGCCTGATGAGGAGAGACCTGGGGCTTTTTAGTCTGGAGAAGAGAAGACTCAAGGGAGATCTAATTAATGTGCAAAAATATAGGAGGGCTGGATATCAAGAAGAAAAGGGCAATCTGTTTTCATTTATGCCCTGCAATAGGACACGGGGCAATGGACACAAGCTGGAGCACAGGAAGTTCCACCTCAACATGAGGAAGAACTTCTCTACTGTCAGGGTTCCAGAGCACTGGAACAGGCTCCCCAGGGGGGTTGTGGAGTCTCCTGCCTCGGAGACTTTTAAGAGCCGTCTGGATGTGTTCCTGTGTGACCTGCCCTAGACTGGATGGGACCGCCCTGGCCATGATGATCTCCAGAGGTCCCTTCCCACCCCTAACATTCTGTGATTCTGTTAGCTTGTGTTCAGATGCTGTAGGGCTTTAAGAAGGTTAGGATTTAAGTTAGGCAACACTTTTCTTACTGACATGAGACTAATAGGTTGTTTTGTTACTAGAATCTGGGCTTTTTAAAATAAACAACTCAAAACATTTACAGAAGCCCTAAAAAAAAGAAAAAATTATCAAACTGCCCAAATCAGCGAATTTTCATGCAAATGCTTCTGTTCTACTTCTATTTTAAAAACTCACGATACTCATGAGTGTAAGTCCATTAAATACCTACACTTCAGAAAGTAAGTTTTAGATGAGATCTCCTAGTGTGAACCAATGATTTGTATCTGATGCCAGCTGTGTCTGCTAAAGCCTTGCATCCCATAGCAGACATACCACTTCTTCTCATTACCATGGCATTAATTTCTTGGACACATTTGACTATCTCCTTCAAAAACAGTGCCGACTCTCTACAGAATGTCCTGCCCTTGAACATGAAAGGGTTAGCTCAGTAGGGTCCCACTTCTCCAGCAATGGAGAAATACTTATGGTTCTTGTCAGATGACAATTTCAGCACCATTCCAACAGTTTGAGGTATACTGGATTTGTGACCCAGATCACTTGAGTTCTCATTTCTCAGTGAAGTTATCAAAGATTCATGACAAGCTCAGACAAAGGCATGTTTAGTAATCATTCTTCATAATTTCAAATCATAAGAATCCTTCATTCATACTTTCTTAGGTATGTTGTATAACCTTTTCAATCCACCAGTTTGACTAAGGCTCCTAAGTGAGCTAAGTTACAATTTCCAGCAGTGGTTTGTGAGGTTTCCTACCAGAGGCTGCCGTTCTCCGAAGGTGGCACGTAGAGGTTAATTCTGTCAAATGTCATCTGCTGGCTTAAGGATAAGATAAGAGCAGCAAAGTACACTGAAAAAAAATTGAATTAGTATTGTCAGATATAAACCCCTGAAATGCTGTCTCATCATGATACAATTATCACTGCATTTTCTTTCCTTTTGCTCCACTGCTTCCAATCATACAGTCCTTTAATTCATTCTCTCTTCTGCAGCATTCCCCTGCCCCCACCAAAATCTGGTTTCTGCATTTTTCCAAACCATCAGCTCCATAAAAAATGCATCTTGTGATTTCTGGTTTTTGCTGGGTCTGTGTTTTGTATTCACAAGTGGGAAAACAACCATCCCACTAACAGCCCCACTAAAGCTACTATTGCAAATGCTTTAAAAAACACATGTAGCAAAGTGCCACAGCTGCTGAATGCTCCTTTCAACTACTGAGAGCAAGTCACTTATTCTAAAGCAGAAAATAACCAGGGAGGAAGATTTCACTGAAAACAGCATGCAGGATTTTTCCATTTACTGTCTTTTCTGGACAATTTCCTATCTGCTTCAAAATACTTACAGAAAGAGGCTACTGCTGCCTGGTCTAGGGTCAGAAAGCCCCTCAGTGCCCCTGACACTTTTGCCAGATCAATCCTGGTAACAAAAACAAAAGTCATTAGCATAGCCCAGTAAGATAATAACATGGTTGCTCTAACAGTATTCTGTTCTTTTACTTTCTGCAAGATACTTTTTCTGCTTCTGTTTACAGCTATATCCCACACATGTGGCAATGGTCCTCATTATGCCAAATCCAATCCTGAAACTAAGGAGGATGTTACATGAGGTTTCTAGTTTTCACACTCTAGCCCTTTCTGGAACAGGCAGAGTGTAGAGTGCTGTAGGTTGGATATTAACTTCTTCTCTGAAGGGGTTATCACACATTGGAACAGGCTGCCCAGGGAGGTGGCAGAGTCACTGTCCCTGGAGGCATGTAACAGACATGTAGATCAAGTGCTTAGGGACATGGTTTAGTGGTGGACTTGGTAGTGTTAGGTTAATGGTTGGGCTTGATGATCTTAAAGGTCTTTTCCAACCAAAACAATTCTAAGATTCTATGATTTGTTCCCTCTAATCCTCACCACTCCTTTCAGTGTCCACACCACCAGCTGAGTTACAGTAACACAACTGCTCACACAGCTTACTCCAGCACAAGAGCAATGCAGAGTAACTTGGGCCTCCTCCTTCCTACCACTCCATGAAAAAACTGTCACAATTTCTTCCATAGCAGCCACTCCTCCTCAGGCTTATCATGCTGCCATGGAAACTATCTGTAACTAAAATAAACTTCTATAACATCTGAATCTACTCTATTTAGGGCAGTTTTTGCTCCTCTTTCTGATCATTCCCATTCTTAACCTGTAACACAGAAATCCCAGCTGAGACAGGAAAACTGTTGACACAACTATATTTTAAACCTGACTGAGAATGGATTCACATGGAAAGTAACCTGATAGAAACATTACTTTTCTCCACCCCTCTCCCCCATAAAAACAAACAGGTCAGCTCTTCCATGTGGTTCACCTCATGATCAGATCAACAGCACGTTGAAGCAAGGCAATGAGTAACAAAGGTCTGCCTGCACAAGTACACCTTTTATCTGTATAGCCAGCCATACATAAAATCATTCTTTAGGTATATCACATTAAATCATCAACCGCAGATCAAAGTAGGCCATAAGCAGGAGAAAGGAACATACTGCACACAAATTACACACACCCTTCAAATACAAACTTCTTTTACCTGTCAAAGGCTGAGATTGTACTGACAGACAGCAACAAATAGAACAAACTTTGAGCTGGGTATGCTAGTGTTTTATATTGCTCGAGCAGGTTAGAAACCGTGGACAGCTGATCTCCTGCCAAAATGTAGATGATAACAATGTTCCACACAGCATACCCAGCAAGGAAGCCATGGGTAAAGAGTCCCACCACCCTGAATGGACAAAAGAACATTAGACAATTTAACAGCTAGGAATCCTGTTCAACCATGCTGCCATGACAGGACCCCAGGCTTTCAGAGATTGTTTCTGCATGCTTTTTCTCATTTAGTTTTAAAAATTCTAAGCAATGAGGCTTCCTCCCTTGACAGACTGCACCACAACCTGAGCACTTAAAAGAAAATGGAGATGTTTTGCCTGATTCTAACACTACTTCATTACTGGTATAGGAATCAACTACTTTCACTTGCTGACTATAACTTTCCAAGATCACTGCCCCTTATACATTTTCTGTAAGTCTCAAATATTTTTATCAATCTCTTGCTATTCAGGTTTTGTCTGAATCTTTGCAATGTGACTTCCTTAGTTACTCTTTTTGTAAATTCCATTTCACATGCGCTGTCTAGACTAGATGTAGATATTCTTGGCAACAAATACCTAGCTAGAGAATTGAGAAACTTTGTATCTGTTACATCCCAAACCCGGATTTAGTAGGAATATCCAAGAGAAATAAACATACATGACAATGATAGAGAAAAGGTGCTTAACTTCAAGGGTGAAAAAAAACCCCAACCAACCAACCAAAAACCACCAAACCAACCAAAAAACCCAAAATGATTTCTGCTTGTTTACGTAAAAACATTTATCCTTCACCTGAAACTTCGGTGCACTGAGAGGGCAACATCTCTGGTGGTCCATGAACCCTTGACATCCATAAGTACATTGATATTTTCAGTGGTTTTAATCAATTCTGCACGGTCAACTGCCTGAAAACGCCCTGAAATTATGAGGAAATTAGTTTTAAAGAGTACTATTACCTTCCATGGTCACTTCTGTGGTAATAATTATCAGTGTTAAAAAAGCTGTAAATATCAGAAGTTCCATCAGAAAATTCCTTGTCCCCATTTCCTGCCCTTTGTAGACTCGTATTAGTTTCAGGATGCCTCTGTCAATGTGATGCATCCTGGTGGGTAAGGCTAAGGATTTAGGAATGTGCAAAGCATTCTGGGTAGTACAACAACACAAAACAACAACAAATAAGCTCAGCTGGCTACTATCAAACAGCCTTTTTCACCCACACCATGGAATTAAATTCAGCCAAACATGCCAGCACACTAGTATTAACATTCACTGTTGAAACACGACCATGTGTATTTATTTCCAAATTATTGCTATGGAAAACCTTTTTTTAATTCTGCCCAGTACTGCAATGTATTATGTTTTAAGTATAATAATGCTTTAATAATGTCCTTAAACTACTAAAATCTCAAGAGGTACTTACGTTTTTTTTCAATAAACACCTTGCTAACAGGCTGGCTAATTCCAGTGGGAGCAGCAAACACAGGCTGCTGATCAGGGCTCTTCCTGTGCTCATCCTCAACGACGTCTTCCTCGTCCACCTCCAGGTCACTGGAACAGTGTGTTTCAGCTGGCCGAGGCTTCCTGTCAGCACAGGACATGCAATGGGGCAACTTCTAATGTGTCTAACTTGACTGATAACATCAGGCTACTGACCTGTATAATATTCCCCCCATTTATAATTTTAAAGGCTAAAGTTCTCATGGAGCTAGTTAAATAAAATCATAAAGGTGATCCTTGATTTTTCTTTCTCCCTTTTTAAATTCCTACATGTGTCAAAACAATAAGGTGGGAAGAAATACATATCAAGAGATTCACAATTAGGAAAAAAATAAACTAAATACAAGGCCAAAAAAGTGGATGCTTTTGGTAGAAAGGCACATAAAATGATTTAAAGGTATAGGTTTTGGAGAAAAGGTAAATAAAAAGGTTAAGAAAGCAGTCGAGTTTCTCATAAAACTAAGAAAAATATAGTAAGAATGAAAGAAAGGAGTCACACATTCTAATTTTTTCAGGTATGTGGCTGAAAATTAGGCTCAGGTAAATGTATTCAGAACTATAATTCATCCAGGTATGCATACAACAAACAAGTGAAGAACATTAGATCTGAAACTTGGGAAGAACTGCACATATGCTATTCACTGCACAGGCTGAAAGGTAGCACGGGCTTGAAGATTACACATTTTTGTAACGTGACAATGTAAAACATTACTCAGTCACATTAATTATCACACTTATTCCAAATTATGAGAAAACTAAGAAAAATATAGTAAGAATGAAAGAAAGGAGTCACACATTCTAATTTTTTCAGGTATGTGGCTGAAAATTAGGCTCAGGTAAATGTATTCAGAACTATAATTCATCCAGGTATGCATACAACAAACAAGTGAAGAACATTAGATCTGAAACTTGGGAGGAACTGCACATATGCTATTCACTGCACAGGCTGAAAGGTAGCATGGGCTTCAAGATTGCACATTTTTGTAATGTGACAATGTAAAACATTAGTCACGTTAATTATCACACTTATTCCAATTATGAGCTATATGAGTTTTGTCTCACTTGGTCCTTTTTTTCTGTTTGCGGGTTGATGTTTCTTCAGCTTCAGGGACTTCCACACCGTTTCCATTCTGAAATAGGGATGCAACATTTTTCTGGGTAAAAGAGGTCTCAGAATCTGAAAATTTAAAGTAAATTTAAAATAAATATGGAAATACATTCACATAAATACATAAACTGTTAGTATAATAAGCACAGTATCAAAAAAGTAATGAACTCCTGAGCTTTAAATGACATAAAGGATCTATTTTGCCATTTCCAAAACTGTATTGCCATTATTTGCATGAAGGTTTGTACTCTATGGACTCTGAAACTGGAACTCTAAGCTACCATTCACTCAGAGATTACTCGCAGCTCATCAAAGAACAGGAGCACATGGCATGTTTTAAATGTTTTAAGCCAAAATACACGTTGGCCAATCATATTTCTGTGCTACCAAGCTTTATTCAGTGCTCTTTCCAACCTACAATTCCTTCACATACCAGTGGGGACTTTCTTCTTCTTGCGTTTCCTCTGAGGAGGGCCGTCCTGGGGCTCAGGAGTCAGGGGCTCGCTGCTTTCAGACTGCCGACGCACTGCTGCCTGCACAATGCCATCTGGAAACCAGGGCAGACCCAGCAACCTTAACCCAGAGCTGCTGAGAGACAGGCAACAAGCAGCTCCCTGCTGCTACATTGTGCAGAACTGCCTCTATTTGCCCAGCTTACAGATTAGATGACAATGTATTGGGGAGGAAATAAGAGTTGGGAAACAAACAAAAAATAAACAAGCTGATTCACAGATATGTGCTAGGCCAAATAACATCCTATCAAAGGGAAATTTAAAGATTAAACACACACCACAAGAATAAAGCAGGAGCAGGAAAAAGTCAACACTGAAGAGTGTTTACTCCAGTCTAACAGATGAATTACTGTGCTTTGGAGGGAGCACATTTCTTTGAGAGGTTAACATGAACTCATCAAATATTCTAGCAGAAGTAGCACCAATTTGCATGATCATTAGTAGGAAGACAAACTTACTTCTCCAGTTACATCACATCTGCCTCTTTATAGCTCTTTCAAGTACTGCAGCTTCTATTGTAACTGAATCTATCCTTGTTTTCACTTCAAGCACAGGTTTTCCCACCTTTTACAAAGCTTTTCTGTGCTCAAGTGCAAAATTAACCAGCAAAGTAACAGCCAAAACCAAGGTGTACTTTACACCATCATTCAGCTCACTGAAAACAACAGTCAACTAAAACTTGATCCTTGGGAAACCCTGCTAGCAAAAGCTCTACTTGTTGCATTATAGGTTTTTTGGTGAGACCTCAACTGTGCATTCTTTCAAATAAAGGCTCTTTACTCATCAAATCATCATATTGGTGCAAGTCAACTGTTTTGCAGAAATCCACTAGATTCTATCAACACGTTCTGCTTTATGAAAACAGACCAGACTTGTAATTTTGCTTAAAACAATGTTTGTTGTGCAAATTCGTTTCTTGGAAAAAAACAAAAGCTCTGGTGCTAGTCATCTTTAGACTCTTAGCTCTTTAATGACAATGGAATGATTAACTTGTGACTTTGGCCAAAGACTGAAATTGAGCAAATTTGTTAAGTGAGTGCTATCCTAATTAATTCAAAAATTCAAGCACTTAACACATTCAACATAACAATCATCACTGGAAATGACTATTTAATGAAGTATACAAAATTTTTAGAAAGGAAAATGTAGCATGAATTAAGGAACTTTTAATTTCAGTATCAAGAGATGCTATATTAGCATTACTATGAATGGCTCGAGGGAGGAAAAGCAGAGGATGAAACAAGCTACTTCAGTAGAGTTACAGATCTGTTCTAAAAGGACACCACTTTGGGGAAAAAGATTGCAGTTGTTTAACATAGAAAAAATGGTAGCAAATTAGCTGAGAACACTATGCAAAAACAGAGTACAAGACTGAGAAGTGTGTATCTGTCAGGAGCTCGGCTACAGCACAGGTCTCACCCAGGATCATGACCCCAGTGTTCAGTCTTGCCAGAATCTCACCTAATGGAGTCTTTCCTTTAGGTTTCCTTTTTTTGGGACGACCGAGTGGAATTTCATCTGCAGAACATAAAACAGAAGTATAGGTGCACAGCATGGAGAAAACTCCAGTTCCTTATTTTAACAGCTACTCTACTGCTAGTTAAGAAACCGATTCCTTTTCACAGGTGAAGACACCCTTCACCTTTTAGAAGTAAGATGACAATTCACCAGTTCACATGAGCAGGAAGACCAAAGAAGATGGCAGGAAAACAGGATAAGAAATGAGTCTTAAGTGCAACAGAGGTTAAATATACACATGCAGGTGTGTTAAGTGAAAAACTGAATAATGCTCTGAAGAAAAAACTTCTTGTTTAGAGCACAGTAGCAATATCTCAGTTACCTTGATTCAGTATAGAAATAGGTGAACAAAAACCAAGACACAGTTCTAGCAGTGGCAGCACATGTATGCATGCAGTTTAAATAACAGCTTCCATTTAGGCTAAGTATAAGGCTTTGTTTTTAAAGACAGGAGGAAGTGACACCAAAAGGAGCTACCAATGTTCATGACTGCCTTTTTATGCCAAAATAACTCACCTTGGTTTCCAGTGCTCATTTAAGGAGAAAGAGCATTGAAGAGCAGTGTAAAGGGAACAAAGGGGAGAAGAAAGTTAATTTTTAATAAACTGCAATTCCCACTGCTGCTCCTTTTGTGATTCATTTCTTTACCTGCACTCCCAGTTCTCTTTATGAGCAGCTGTGTACAACAAGGGTAAGGGTACAAAGCAATCTTCAATACTGAACACTTTGTGTCTATGCAGTTTCTTGATTGGCTAGCTGTGGATCAGATTAAAAGCTTTAATCACCTGGCTAATTAAAGCTTATCTTACTGTCTGATATGTAACAAACCAACAGAAGTTATGAAACATTTGAGCACGTACATTACTAAAGATAAACTATCTTTATATGTTGTTCATCATGAACATCACATTTGCTTTTCAGTACTTCAAAGGGGTTCTGAAGTACCATGTCCTAAAAACCTATATAATTGCTTTTCCTTCCACACTGAAAAAAAAAGCCAAATTTTTTCCCTATACTATGTCAAACTAGTAGATACCTATATACCTATTTGAGAAAATCCAGTCTAATTTCAGAAATTCCTGTTCTAAAGGATTTGTGATTCAAGTAAACTAAAGAAAATGTAACAAAACAAAAAAAGGAAGGAGAGATTGAAAAGGAGGACATCAATAAAACTAAATTAGATGTTAATGAAACTAAAGCAGCTACTTGAAACTTTTTAAAGGGTTTATCTCTTTAAATATTAAAACTGAGATAATAAAGTAAAATTTCTTGGCCTATGTAAAACTTTCAAATGGTTTGTATTCCTTGTAAGGGGTTCTGGGACAACAAATTAGCAAGAAAAGCAATTACTTTTAAAGCAGTTATGACTACTTAGATATTTATTAAACTTATTTATCTTTATTTCATTACTTTTTAAAAAAACTGCAGTACATAACCATGATCAAGTCCACAGAATGAACTGATTTTACCTTGGCACTGGAGGGAGGGCACGAGGTGGGCACTGAAAGACAAGAGAAACACAAAAGTCAGCTTCTGTCAGTATGAAACCACCTCTCAAAAAACAGCTTTTTTCCAGATACAGTCAGAACATTAAGTGTGTTTTGTATGCCTTTTAAATAGCTTGAGACCTCTGACAGAGATGTTACATAAAAATAACATGCAAAAGCTGCAGGCATAATATACTTTTATTAGAGCTCTGACAGGCATGTCATGAGGGATGTGTACCTAATAACTGTGTGAGAGATGCTGCCTGCATTTCAGTTTCACTTCAATTAATTTTCACTCTTCACATAAAGTACTACTTGCATTGGAAATCTTATCACCCATTCTATTGAAATATCAAAATACTACAATAGTTTAGGCATTCAGCATACTTGCACAGAGTGGATTTTTTATTAATGAAGCTGTAAATTCAGAACAGTAGGAAAAGCAGTAAAACAAAATAAACTTATTTATGAAAAAGACTTTTAAGTATGATAAAACACTAATTTTCAGAAAATTTTTAAAGTATTTACCAGGTCAAACACCACTAAAATCTACAAAATTTAAGTCTCTCCTGTTAACAACCTGAGGCTGAGCTCTTGCCCTTTCTCTCATCTAGAAAATTGAAGGCCGTTTACCTTCTCCTTTTGCATTACATCATTATATTGAAAGGATATACATGAGTAAGTCTTTCTCATGCTCCAGAAACTCAGTTGGTAGCAGAAATAAAAAAGGCTGTAGGACCACTAAGTCTACAAACTTACCACTTGCTTCTTTCCCATACCATTTGAAGCTGTTCCCTGAAAGATGGACTGCGAACCAGCCTACACTCCCTCACACTGAATCTCAGCTAATTCTCAACTAAAAATAAGCTTCCAACAGCCAGGATTAGCTGGACTTGAACCTTCCTGCCCCTGGGTTAGAGCCCAGTATTACTCTCATTTGGAACAACAGCAGTTTGTTCTGTGGCAGCAAATGTTACTTATACTGAAAAACCCGTAACTCAATATGCTGGTACCAGTTCCAGTGAGAGAGATTTACTTAAGTATGTTTACCCAAAACAAATAAGATACCTCCTGCAAGGAAGGGTTTGCAGGATTAGGCCTCAAATACCTCACTTGAATTTTGGCCATGCTGAAGACTGACAGCAAGTGCCATTTACACAGGCAGAGAACAGCACTTTCCTGAGCAGCATCCAGCAAACTGGTGAGGACTGGTCACATCATACATGTGCTCCATAAGGGAGAAAAATATTGACAGAGGTTAGAGAGGATTACTTTTGTTTCCTACATTCCTGTGTCAATACTTATTAAATGTTTTGGACTTGGGGAAAAAGCACAAAAAAACCAAACAACTTCTATACAGCATTCACTGCCTGTGCAGTAGTATACCTGTGCTTTGTAGTACCTCAGCATTGTGTTACCTTCTATGAAACAACTGAAAAGTCAACTTCTTTATCATTTATTCCTTGCAACAAAGGAAATCGCATGCAAGGCAGATAGTGTGCATAGTAACCCGGCACATCTGTGTGAAAGTCCCCTACCCTGCCATACGAATACCAGCTTTCCCCTATCAGTTTCCAGTTCCTCAGAGCCTGCAGGAACTTCCTCCAAACTCCATAGAAAGGGTGAGTTTGGGCGTAGGTTTCCAGGGACACTTCGTCACTGCTAGAAGAGCTACTGAGCGCTGACATAGCGACAGTGCAGCTGCAGCCAAGATTCCCTCCCACAAAGCAGGCGGAATCAAACTGCCCCCAGCAGATGCATTTCCTTCTCGTGTGGTGGGCTAAGCTGACAGCACCACAGCTCGGAGGGGGTACCGAGGGGGCAGCAATACTCAGAAGCGTACAAACGCTTAGCCTGCCTTAAAAGCTTTGCGTAGTTCGGGTCTTTTTTTTTTTTTTGGGAGAGAG